CAAAGCACCTTTTATGTAGTCTTTTCTAACCCCAGAAAAAAGTGATTTATAAGAGACATATTAGGAGGGACCAAGGATATTATAGTTTTGAATTTTTTAATTAAATTTATATGTATAAAATGTATTTATTCATATTGATATTCATTCATATTAAAGATAAAATCTTGTTAAACATGCCAATAGCTTACAAACAACAAGCTAATCAAGGTTTTCAGAGTTACTAGAAAGCTAGTTTTTTTTTACAATGACCCTCCAGTGCTGGATTTGAGGAAACCTGTTGTCACAGCGCGGTCAGGAAAGACACACCGTGTGAATGAGGGTTTGGGTCCAAATGCAGGCCTTATTTAAACTGCTGGGGAAAACAAAGTAAAAACAGAAAACAAACAGAGCTGAGACTCTGAGACACAGGCTGAGAACAGATACAGGAATCTGACGCAATGCGGCCACCTCTGGCTGCGTCAATCACCGAAACAAACATTAATAATCATCAAACACCGAGTGGCGTGGGGAAGGCGCATAAATAGCCCTCGGAATGGGCCACAGCTGTGTGTAAGTGAGTGAGTGTGTGTGTGCACAGGTGTGTGGAGTCAAGGAAATGGAAGCGGAGTCCGGGAGGACGGGAAATGGCGACCTCTGGTGGTGAGAGGGAGAACACCATACGCCAGACCCTGACACCTGTTCTTTGTAATCGTCATTGAAACTCTTTAAACTTTATTTTTGTCCATCTGTGTTTTCAGTGCATTAATTTGTTGGATCTTTTGCACAGATGAGCCACCGGTGCACACTACTGTATGTCCCGTTTCTCCCTCTATGAACATACACAATAAAAAAAGAAACAATCTAAAATGCTTTGAAACCTCATTCTACTCAAAACTAAATGTGATATGGTGATTTAAATTATGTTTGCACTTTACTTTGACGAGCCGCTCCAGCGTGCACGTGCTTCAGTTTAGCAACGCAATCAATCCCAGTTCAAAAGCTACACAGGACACAGCAAGCGGTGAAAACACCACGCGCTGCCGCTTTCTCTCATTTTGGATGCGTTTTGTTCGGTCAAAGCGGTGCTCGTGTCATGGACTTGAGGAGGACGTTGCCATAGTAATTGTAAATGACTATTCACCTCATCCAAAAATTTTAATTCTGTGTCTGTAAACTCACTCTCATGTTGTTCTTGCACGTCAAGCACGCTTTTAAACATACGTGCGCTGTAGGGGGTGCATCATTATTATTTCCCATGTCATATTTTATAGTTATTTATTTCCCATTTCATTTCCCGCGTCTTGTTTTTTAAATGCAAAAACGCATTCTCTGTGAATAGAATAGCCGCTTAGGCTCACGTGCATGAAGCTCCATCTACAGGTATTTCCTTAAACAACCACAGGTCAGACTTTCTGGCACAGAATGAGAGCTTGTTAAATCACGAACACGATTATTGATTTTTTGCTAATTATTATTTTATTTTAGTTCGTTTTTCAATTACTGTTGTTAGGTTAGTTTAGTTTTAGTTTTTCATTTATTTCGAAATTTTAATTTTATTTCAGTTTACGAAAATCTTGTTTTAGTCTTAGTTTCAGTTATCGTTTACGAAAATAACCTTGGGAGGGACTTTTGTCCATGCAAGCTCACAGACAAGAAAATAGGCTTGTTGGGGCTGTTTTCTTCAAAATGAGTCTAAGTAAATGTTCAAATAGCTTTCATGACTCTTTATAGTTCTTGGAAGTAGTAGTAGTAAATTGGTGCAGTAATGTGTGTCTGTTTGTCTTTCGTCTCATCATTACTTTTTTGGTAATTATTACATGTAGAGTGTTAGATAAATGTTATGCCTAGTCAAATTACATATGAATGAGATAATCATCTGTACTCTCAAAGAGTACAGATACAAATATTTCCATATATGTCTGATTGCCAAACCAAACAGATATCATATGGACTGTTGCTGTGTGTGTTTGTAGGTTGTCTGGCTGTATGGTGACAGAGGAGGGATGTTGTTATGTGTCTTCAGCTCTGAGTTCAAACCCCTCACACCTGAGAGAGCTGGATCTGAGCTACAATCACCCCGGAGATTCAGGAGTCAAGCTGCTCTCTGAGATACTCAGCCATCCAAACTGCACACTAGACAAACTCAAGTATGTTGAGCAGAAATAATCACACTGCTGTGTGTGTGTGTGTGTGTGTGTGTTTCCTCATCATATTAGAATGTGACATTCTGTGTGTTTTCTAGTGTGGATCATGGAGGAGAATTCAGGATTACAGCAGGACTACACAAATGTACATCTGCACACACACACACACTTTTAGTGATTGTTGTTGTTTTGATATAAAAGTTCTGGTAACACTTATAATAAGGTTCATTAATTAACATTAGTTAACTACTTTAGTTAACATGAACTAACAATGAACAATACTTCTACAGCATTTATTCATCTTAGTTAATATTAATCTCAACATTTACTAATGCATTATTAAAATAAAAAGTTGTGCTTGTTAACATTAGTTAATGCACTGTGAATTAACGAACTAACAGTGAACAACTGTAGTTTAATTAACTAACATTAACAAAGATTAATAAAAACTGTAATAAATGTATTGTTCATTGCTCATATTACATTATTACATTAGTTAGTTATTACATTAACTAACATTAACTAATGGAACCTTATTGTAAAGTGTTACCAATATTCTTTCTTTTTTCTTATTTAGATGCCTGTGATCTCACACTGGATCTAAACACAGCAAACATTCATCTCATTGTGTCCGAGGAGAACAAAAAGGTGATACATGTGAAAGAGGATCAGTTATATCCTGATCATCCAGAGAGGTTTGATGAGTGTAGTCAGGTTCTGTGTCGAGAGAGTCTGTCTGGACGCTGTTACTGGGAGGCTGAATGGAGTGGACATGATGCTGATATGTCCGTCACATATAAAGGTATCCGCAGGAATGGAGGGAGTGATGATTGTTGGTTTGGATCCAATAACAATTCTTGGAGTCTGATCTGCTCTGATTTTGGTTTTACTGTTCGTCACAATAAGAAGTTCACTGTCATACATGTCCCTTTGCGCTCCTCTAAGAGAGTAGGAGTGTATCTGGACTGGTCTGCCGGCACTCTGTCCTTCTACAGCATCTCTGACACTCTCACACACTTACACACATTCAGCTCCACATTCACTGAACCTCTCTATGCTGGATTTGTAGTTTGTGAGGGTTCCTCGGTATCTCTGTGACATCCTGTGAAAAGCCTGTGAGCAACAAAAGACACACACACACACACACACACACACACACCTGACTAAAAAGAAATCCTCTCACTTTATATATTTGTCCTGTCAGTTACCCAGCATTTTTTGCATTTACAAGATCTCTGGCTGGGTTTGTGTACATTTACTCTCAAGAGATTTTGCAATTATGTGAAACATATGTGGTGATTTGTTCTTTGCTAGTTAGGTCCAGAATTATGTGAAATATTACATGTTTTGTATGTGCTCTCATTAGGGCCTTTCGCACCGCGGGAACCTTTTCATAGTACCAGAACTAATTGTGGAACTACCCACTTTTCGGCGTGTTCGCACC